ATTGAGCTATCTCACCATCTCGTTAGACTATTGGTAACGGTTAGCGTCTGTGTTTGTGTAAATAATGCAGCGGATTATATCAACGTACTAGATGTTGTCTGAATCTGGTCTTTTTTGGGTCGACGCCAATTTTCCGGACTATAGATAGGTCAGATTTCTGTCCTAAGAGTTGATCCACAGTATGCGAAATATTACTCACGAAAAAGATTTATCCTCGCCAAGAAATAGCCTAGAGTCTCGTTGTCGACGATACCAAGGGCCACTGCCTTGCCAATAGACATTCTCTTGGTCGTGCTCTTTCCACTCAGTTGAATGTTTCGTGGTAGCAGTTCGAGCTGAACATTTTGGACTTCATGAAAACGGCTGGTCCATGCTGATTAGCTTGGGAGAGCACTCAGAGTTTAGTGCTAAATACCTGTGCTTCTTGCCTCCCTCGGGGTCGACAACTTCCAACGAGTCAGTTATAGGAAACAGCTAGCATATCACACCGTGTCCGGAAACACGCCAAACAACTCACAGTGTTCAATCTATTGACTCTGTTAGACGACCATAAGTGCACCAGAGGGGAGGGCAGGGGCAGCAACGTACCTCTGCCATCAAAAATTCGCGGACACGAAGGAGACCACCGCGGGGGGAGATCTCGTTTCGATAAGACTTTCCAATAGAGGCCGATGCAAAGGGCATCACACCCTGGTTGAATTCTAGGAGCTTGGCAAAGTTGAGAAATTGACCCTGAGCGGTCTCCTATTCATAGAGGTTAATGTACATCTACACATCTACACAGGGAGGGACTAGGGCAAGACATACGGGTCGTAGGTAACCCTTCGTGTTTGTGCTTGGTCCGATGGAGGTTTGGACTATTTATCATCAATGTCACGTCCAATTGGCCGCCTCATGGACCACTCACACATCAGGTTAAAAGCCACGGGTGGTGTAGGTAACTCGCCACTGGCGCATCGCAAGTCATATTTGTTGATAAGCTCAGCCAGGCCCTTATCGTCGTAATTGTCGATCTTGGCTAGGATGGATTGATATTCCTCGACGACCTCGTCGTCCAGCTTCACAGCCGTGTGGCCCTTGGCTTTGCTCTTGCCGGCTCGTTTTGGGTCTTTCGGCGCGCCGCTACTCGCCTGACCACGGGCTTCCTTGTCGCCTTTGAGACGAGCCTCCAGCGTGTCCTCGACAAAGTGGTCGGCGCGCATGATGTCGCCGGTCTTGGGGTCCTTGCACATCCAGTCGGCAAAGCGATCGACGTGGCCGCTGGTCTTGAAGACGACGTGAGGGGTCAGCACGGTGCAATCGACCTCAAGAACATTGTCCTCCACTAGAAGCACATCAGTAAGGCAAGACAAAACACCAGCTAATTGGATCGCGGAAACGACGCACGAACGAAATGCTTGCGCCAGACGTCCAGGATGTTGGACTGCAGCGCAGTGCCCGGCGGACCGTAGTCAAACAAGCCGCTGATGCCACCGTAGATCTCGAAGCTGGGCGTGTAGAACATGCGTCGGCGCAAGAGGCCGTCGACTGCAGCCCTGTCGAGGGGCTCGCCCATCAGCGTTGTCATCGTGGTCGTCATTTTTCCTTCAGGACGAGCAAGTCTCCCTGAGATCTCCGCGGTCTTCGAACTCTGCTTAAACTTCGCCTTCGCAGGATGAGCGAGGGGTCGAAACGGTCTTTGGATTATGGTTCCAGGAGCTGCGATCCCGCGTAGAGGTATGCGACTGAGCAAAGGGCCACCAATTGTTCTCTTCAACATCAGGACATGAGTCACCGGAAAATAACTGGTGGCATTTGCAACGCGTGTTCGGAAGCACGTCCAAGAGGGGCACCTCCTTCCTAGGTTAGTGGGGGTGGCGGCAGTGGCAGTGGTGGCGGTGGTTTAGTGGGGTACCCAAAGCCCCTAATTTCGCCCTAAGGTTCAGGAACGTAGATTCCTACAGCAATTTCCACGCTCCGAGTGGTGATGGCCTTCTCATGCCATGCATGAGTTAGTGCTACAAGCGCCGCAATGGAACACATACGTTGTTTCCAGTCTTCGAATAACGTATTCAATCTTGCAGTTCTTTGCTAGCTATCACCACCAGAACTGTAAAGTGGAACTGATTATAAGTACGCTAACCTAAGTACCCTAGGCCAGAGTGGAACTGAGATGGCAACATTGTGTAGATCTTCAACGCGTGTAAATCATTATCACATCGGTAATGCCATGAGCGTCATTTTGGATGCTATCGAATTACACAAGTCTTCCGATTCACACCAACTCGCAAAATTCAGAATCGTCATAGCGACCATTCTCTGATACTCCCAAGCACTAAGGGCCGCTCATGAGTAAGTTTGGGTATTGGTGGCGTGGCAGCACAATCTCGGTTGGGCTGTAGGACGCTAGACACTCAAAAGAAGATAAATGATTGGAAGAATCATACGCGATATATATATGAGATGATCTTGAGATGGGTGGGAGCTAATACCCGGCTACATCCATGCCTCTCAGGGGGTGCGGGGTGGGCTAGATTGGCGACAGCCATTGAGCCAAGATAGATATATGAAAACTCGGCGATAAGCATCACGGTCAACCTTTTTACACATTTTATTTAATAAGTTATGGTTATACTGTTTTTAGTCGGCTGCATTGCATCGGTTTGTCATACATGACTGATGTTTGTCGTCCTAAATTGTGTTGATCGGAAAAATTACCGTGTTGGTGCCTAAGTCCTCGAAATAATCATTATTCCCGGCCCTCATACCATTCTGAACTATGTTTTAATATGATTCCGTCGCGTAGGGGATGAGATCAATGCCGTCCTCAGATTCATTGAAGACATAAAAGAATGACTTTTTTTTCAATGTTAAGTATCATAACTGCCCTTAAACAAACCTAGAATACTGACAGGTTCAATATAATTATCGAGGTGTTTGTTCATATTAAGGGGCAACGTCACCCTCATGGAGAGATCATTTACTTGGGTAGTCAAGAACCGCATCGGCAACTACCACACACACCTTGGGTGAATCGGGGCTATAGCTGAACGCATAGCGAAGCAATTTCCAGCCCGTTCAATTCAAAAGTGCATGATGTACGTTGGGTAGTAAATACGACAAGGTAAGCACAGATACCGGCTGAATCGTTGCCAAGGGCATCTTTTCCGCAGCCCTGAGAGCGAATAGGATTCGAAGCAATCTACTGAATAGCAACATGAGCCGGGAGTGTGCAATAGTCGGGACGGCATTCGGTATAACTATTTTGCTGTTGAAGTAGTTATAAGAAGAGTTCGGCCACTACATTCAACTTCTGAGAATGATTAAATATTCAGATCTCACTCATCACGAGCTATTATAGCTTCCAGCCGCAGCGAGAATGGGTTTAGCATTTGTTAAGTGCATCGGCCTACTGGCCCTCCTTGCGAGCGGTGTACGCTCGCAGGAGAAAAAGCGTCCCATTATGCTCGATAGCTCCGGCGGGTTCAATGTCGCTGGCAAGATCATCCAAAACCCCAGAAACCCCAACATGACACTCTCATGCGACCACGGCTACATGGAATATTTCATCCCCTGGACGCCCCGGAAAACCAGTCTGGTTATGTGGCACAGCTCGAGCACGCAGACGTGGCAGAATCGATTCGACGGCGGCGAGGGCTTCAAGGACATGTTTCTCAGGCGCGACTATCCCGTCTACCTCTGGGATGCACCGAGACTCGGACGCGCGAATTGGGCCTGTGAGCGGACCACTTATACACCTGATTACCGAGACCAGGGAAATTTCGTCGCGTGGAATTTCGGGCCCTCGTATCCCAACTTCTGGCCAGACACGCAGTTCCCAGCGTCCAACAAGACGGCCTGGCAGCAGGCAACCAGCGGCCGATATGTTGAGTACGACACGACCGCGAACATCAACTTACAAGCGAATGCCGCCGCGGTCGCCGCCGATTCCTACAAGATCGGCGACAGCATCGTGTACCTGACGAACTCGGCGGCTGGGCTGCGAGCGCAGCTGGCTGTGACAATGAGCAACACGACTAACACCAAGGCGATCGTGGCATACGAGAGCTTCGGCTACGTGTTCCCCGACAACCTCAACATCACCGCAGGCGTGCCGTTCGGGCCAGTGATTGTTCCCGTCGAGCAATTCAAAAAGCTCGCCAAGTTGCCAGCCATCCAATTCATCTTCAGCGACCACCGCTCCGAAGATTTCATCTACCTGTCGCAGGCAAGGCGCTCGGCCAAGCTCATCAACATGTACGGAGGTAATGCAGAAGTACTTCTGCTCGGCAAGGATGCGGGATTGAAAGGGAGCACGCATATCGCGTTTCAAGACATGGATAATGACAAAGTAGCGGATCTCTTGGACGAGTTCTTGAAGAAGAATAGGCTGGATCACTACGTGGATGATCGGACCGGGAATTCGCAGGCTTCGGAACGGGCTTGGCGACGGTGGGCGGGACTTCCAAGGCGATGGCGATGAATACAAGATGGACAGAGTATATATGTTTTTCCTTATAGGTTATAAACGGGCCAGTTTCCTCACTCTTGACCTATTTGCTAGCCTAGATCGTGATGCCGTAGTCCGAGGTGTTGTAGCTGAAGATACGATATAACAGAACATGCATGGTTTTATGAAGACGATCCTGTACGGTAAACTTCTCTTAGTTCAAATAAAGCTTCTTTCTGCTTTGATTTAAAGATGTCTAACTCACTGCTCAAGCCAACCAGCTCCGTGCCCGTCTGTAAGCACCGCCCCTATAGTAAGTGAGTATGCATACAAATCTCTGCATTATCACCGCTCACACCGTCCACGATCCCTACTCTCCAAAGCTTCTTTTAGCACGCTTAGCGCTTGCGGTGTTATATATTAGCTTGATTATAAATATTCTCTAAGAAGAGTAGTGCTGCTCATTCTATGCTTATCCACAAGGTATACCCCTCTTTGATGTTGAACATGTAGAGAAGTTGGTGGAATTGTTGCGCATACGACCAGACCAGTCAATCAGTCAATCAGCCAAGTTTTCGTGGCCTAGTGGTTAGGGCGTCTGTCTTACATCTGAGTATCAGGAAATCATTCCTTCTTACCTGTTGATCACAGAAGATCCCCGGTTCAATCCCGGGCGGAAACACTTATTTATGTTTTATTTTTGATGTTAGATGATCGCAGACAAGTTTTATTCGTGATGGACACAGCTGGATGTCTGCTTAGAAGCATCGAGTGTTGTTCCTCCTACACTTTTATCTCGGGTTTGGAGTCACTTTACAGTTTACATTAGCCCCTTGCGAAAAAGGAGTTGGTCAGAGCAGCAGCTGGATCATAATGGTACTGATTATCATAGCAATACGATCAACATAATTTGTGTTCGTGATTCTACAGAAGTCTCAGAATTGGTGTATCATTTAAGAAAGTATGCCAAGTAAAGAATGCTTCGCAAATGACCCGCACAGTCACAGCCTACAGGGCCTTGCAATGAGACCTGCAGTCATACCTAGGTAGTGACATAACACACTGCTTTCCCCGTCGTGAAGGCTACCGAGTCTAATAATTGATTGTTCCATGCTCAGAAGGCCATCATACGTCTATGTGTCTGTCAGGATCACATCTGACAAAGAGGGAACCACCAGTTACTTACGCGAGTCTGCCTCAAGGCGTCGGCGCAATAGCAGCCGCCCAGCATCCGGCTTGGCAAGCTCCAAACGCCGTATTGCAGGCGACGATAGACGCGGGAGCGGAAGCGCCCATTGTCGCTCCCCAGGTGAATCCAGCTGCTCCGTAACAGGCAGTAACGACAGCCGCACAGCCAGCCTGGCACAACCCATAGGCAATGGGGCCAGCGCTCGCGGCGCTTGTGAAAGCTAGCGCGGAGACCAAATGAGTGTTAAGCTTCATAATGTAGGTAGCGATTAAGCTTGTTTAAGTTATAGTAAGGAGAATTTGGGTTTGTGGTGAGGAGATCTGTTGCTGTTGATGAGAGGCGCGGGTTTGTTGTAGAGTAGAGAGGAGATGGGATATGGCTGGAGAGAAAATCCAAAAAAGAATGGGAGATCGGACGAAGGCTTATATACATTTATATATATTTCCGCGCAATCTGTCTGATTGATGAACACAGCGAACCGCGCCAAGCGCACGGAAACATCAAGAGGTAGAGCGAGCTTGAAGGTGCCGTTTGTCTGACAAGATGCCTCGATAGGTCGCAGTTCGATAACAACGGGAAGAAATGTACTGACACTATGTCAGATGGCTGGTAGTTTGCTACTGGCTGAATTCTACGAAAGGAGTAACCTTATACGTGATACCAAGTAAGCACAGAAGCTGCTACACCACATGAGGCATCTAGGTTCGAATACTGCTAGCATCCGTTGATCAGCATCAAGGTCGTACCGGACATCAAACAAAATGCCGAAAGAGAAAAGAAGAAACGCGATACAACACGAATATTTCCATATATCACCTATTGCTTTTTGATTTTACTCCTGTTTCGCTGCACTGAAGTACCATTCCGCTTAGGCTAAGAAGCCCCTATTTCGATGTCGCTTGATGCGTGGGGACGAGATGCGCCTGTCCGATATTGTGACGTAGCTCCTCCTCACACTACATTCTATGCATGAAGCCGATGCCAAACGGTGTTGCTGTGATGTAAGACAGTGTTGCAGAGTACTGATGACCTCGATCCATCTTATCCTATATTCTTCCATCTTCGGTGCATCCGTTTGCAAGAAAAATTAAGGGCAAACGGGAGCTTCTGGCTAGTTCTTCAATTATCAAGGATTCAAAAATAAGAGGCTGTACCTACGTTGTATTAGGTTATGAGCTGTAAGTAATGATGGTTATCGTTGCCTGTGTATGTAGTGCCCTATAACTTGTAATCTTAGTAACACGACGCCGACTGAGGAAGATGTAAAGATCAGATCACATAGTCAAGAGACTTTGATTCAAGTATACAATCATCGCTGGAGACATCCTCAATCTCTGCGTGAGTAATCAGATGACTGCATTTCCTATTGACCGAATTTATACTCTGAAGCGCACGCTTCAGCAAGCTGTAGTAGATTATCCTCAGACTTGCCAAAGTGACTTTTGGTGTGCCAGTCTACATGAGATAACAGCAGACATCGACAATGATACTGGATTCGTTCAACTAGGTAATACAGCGTCGAAAATCCCCCGGTCCTCAGTCAGGGGCTAGCACGAACCTCCAAGCATGAATCCCCCAAGATCATAAAACAGCCGCACCAACAACAATACCAAATCTTCCTCGAAGCCAGTCCAAGCTTACCTAGCGACCCTGACTTCCACCATAATTATCAATCCCGCCACAACTTCATCCTCTTCCTCCCCCCACCCGGCGACTTCCCCTCCCCCCTTTCATCAGCAAACAGCGCCACAACGCCAGTATTCCCCCTCGCAACCGCGAGATCAATCGGAGTGCGTAGCTTCGTATCTTCCAACCTAGGATCCAACCCCACCTCGTTCATCAGCTTCCTAAACGTCTTCTCAATATCCCCCTGCTGTCGTCGTTCCCAGTCGGACGCGACTTTTCTTGCCGCCAGGACGTGCAGCAGCCCGGCGCCCTCGTTATCCCTCGCGCTCCAATCCGCGCCGAATTCGTTGAACATACCCCACAGACCGGCGTCGTCGTGGCCGACGAGTTCGCTGAGATCCCGCTGGTGCCGTGTCGAGGTGTTGCGGCCTGTCCATATCACTTCGTCGGACCATTGGTCCGCGCTGTTCCACCCCGTCGCCATGAATGCGTGTAGGGGCGTTTCGCCGCGGTGGTTGCGCGCGTTGAGGTCCAGTCCCTTTTCAAGCAAAGATCTGAAAGTGACCACTGCCTCGGCAGTTGTAGATTTCTTGTTTACGAGGCGGGGTGCGAAATGATGAAGGACTGTATTGCCGTCAGTATCTGCCGCGTTGGGATCCGCGCCGTTCTCTATCAAGTAGAGAACGGTGGAGGTCTGGCCTGACTGTGCCGCTAGATGTAAGGGCTTGTATCCTGCGTGGTCAGCCACATGAATTATGGAGTGTTTGGCGGTAACCATCGCTGTGAGAAGATCCTTATGGATGATACTGAATGGCTCGTCTTCAGAAGTGCAAAGCCAGTGCAGAGCACTTCGGCCCTTGCCATCTAATGCATCGACATCCGCACCGTGCTGTAATAATGCAAAGGCAATTTCGGGGCGAGGGCAGCGACGTCGGTTTTCAGGCCGGTGTGGGTATTGGGGTGGTGGAGAGGAGGGCATACAGGCTGAGATCAAAGCTGTTCGCCCTTCAAAGCCGTTGAATTGGAGGTTGAGTCCCGTGGCTTTCAAGAGAGGAATCACAAAACCGTGCTCTTCGATACACGCCTGCAGAATGGGACGCCCATCGTCATATAGTTTGAGAGGATCCGCGCCGTATTCCACCAGAGCCTCCATCACCGCATGTTGGCGGCTGATCCAAGACTGATCAACTGTCCCTTCCTTGGGGTGAGCAGCGTTGTGCAGCGGATATCTACCGCCGGTAGACAACGCATTGGCGTTCGCACCACTCTTGAGCAACAGCATCACCATGGTTGGATCCATTCTCTCTGTTATCGCATAGTGTAAAGCATCCGGACTCTGAGACACGTCTGCTCCGTACCTGAGCAGCAACTCGGTCACTTCAGCATCCTGAGACATCTCCAAGTATGATCGTTCAGACTTATCATGGATCACTACTCTCCTGTTAGGGTCGGACCCGTGTTCAAGGAGAATTCGGATTATTGCCTCTTTCCAGAATCCCACTGTAGGACGCGCGTCTATTGCTGATTGTAGAAGTGTTTCTCCTCGTTCATTTAGAGTCGACACATCTGCACCATGCGAGACAGCATACTCGAGTGCCTCGACCTGCCAAAAGAGCTCTCCTAAGACGAGACTATGTAATGGGGCATTGGCTTCATCGGTCCCGAGGAATTCGATCAGTAGATCCGAATGGTCCCCTGGGTAAATTTGGGTTCCAGCCAAAAACTGTACATACTTGTCTGGGTCAAAAATGAGCCCAAACTGCTCGAAACTCTTCGCCAAAGTGTTGAGAGAGGTTGGATTTAAACGTGGCTCTGGCACTCTTCGCCCCAATTGCCATTCAGCAAGAACTCGAGCTGGTGTTTGGTTGTTTGCATCGCGGCGTGAGGGATCGGCACCGTGTGCGAGCAAGTATATAGCGCTATCCTGGTACCCAGAGCGACAACTGTAATGAAGAGGAGTGCTTCCGCTCCCATCCTCAGCCGTCTGGTTCACGAACTGGTCAAGTACGCCGTGATCTTTATACCACGCGAGTAGAAGACAGACAATATCGGGCCTGTCTGCTGCGCACGCAATATGTAGTGGTGACAGGCCCTCGGCTGTCATGCGTGTTGGATCTGCTCCGAGCCGGAGTAGCCTGCGGACCGTAAACCTAGAAATAGAAACGGCGTGGTGAATGGGTGTTACACCAGACTCGGTTGTAACATTCAGGTCACTTAACCCAAACATGGGCTCTCTCAAAATGAGGTCAATCCAATAGTCCGGGCCCCAAGCCGCGTCATTAAAACTCGCAAAATGCAACAAAGTCGCACCGCTTACTGTCGTTGCTGTAGGTGAAACGCCGAGTTGAACTAGAGCCTGAATATACTTCATTCCATCGTAGGGGTGGGAGCTAAAAGCACTCACTGCCAAGTGAACAGGAGTATGTCCGTGGTCATCCTGTATGGTGGGATCTACTCCGGATTTTACGAGGCAGGCAACCGAACCTATATCGAGTCGGTTTTTGACAGCATGATGAAGAAGGGTGCGCCCATGCACATTTCTCAATGTAAGGCTTGCTCCTAGACGAACAAATTCCTCTATAATATCCGGTGTGGCGTTGTTTGAGGTGATAATTTTCCAGAGAAACGTTTCACCTCGGCTATCACGGACGTTGATGTCCATGCCTTTTTGGATCATAGCTTCCAGGATCTTTTTGTCACTGCCTTGGAGAAACTCATACTTCAAGATTTTGTATACAAAAAGAGGAACGAGACCAGCGGTGTTTGTCGTGTTGAAATCTTCGCCAGAGCCAATTAGACTTAGGAGGAAAGGAATATCATCTGTCTTAAACTTGTTCAGGTTCATGAAAACCAAGTGTAAGACGGAG